TTCCGATATTCGTTACCCTTATAATTAAAGTAAAAAATTCTTTCGATTCAACAAAATTCGAATTGTATTCATCCATACATTGCCTTAAAAGAAAATAAGTTCTAAAAGTTAGAATATAGTAAAAATTAGACCATGAAGAGTTAATTAAGAAGAATGGCCATAACTTAGGAAGGCAATCACACGAAATTAATTAAATTATTTTACATTAACTTTCACAGATGGCGCTAAATGTTTTATATTAATAAATTAACAATTTTTCACGGTTATGAAACAATTGAAATTAAAATTTGGCGCCATCTGGATACCATTTTCTTTTTGTGTTTTTTTACGGTCATGAAAAGCGGAGAAGGGGAGAAAAAAAAATTTCCCGCATCCGTCTTTAACCTATAGACCAGAAACAATAAATAAATTTGAAGCTAATAATGCGAGCCTATTATTATCTATAGGCATACGCGCAACCTTGTAAAGTAGGATGAAGTGATAACAAGGCTGCACCCACGAGACACTTCCGGTAGGTACGAGAAACTATCATTAGAATTACATTCCGAGAATGCCACACCGTCCACCATTTTGCAGATACTTTGCTCTTTCATTGGACGTTGTGCTCAGCAATGATGAATGGAGCTTAACCCATTCCTCTTCCATATATGGTCATCCGGTGGTCACCTTGTCCTATTCCTGAAGGAAAAAAACAAAATAAAAAAAAAAAGGAGTTTTTCTCATTGTGTATAGATTTTTATTATTTCTGGGAATTATCTTGGGTTAAAAGATATTCTATGATAATGGGAGGTGGACCAAAAAAGACCACTACCCGAGGGAATGTCCACATTCTTACTGGAAATTTCTAACCTTTGCTATTTATCATCGAGTTAGAGGGTATTAATTAAAATCAAGTTTTTATAAGAAGTATTTTAATATATTCGAATAGTTGGCATACCTATTTTAAAAATCTGTATGACACTTCCTCTTTTTTTTTAATACACATATATTTTAGACTATTGAGAAATTAATTAATAACAATAATGTCAAATATATCTCGTTAATGCTACTTTTTATTTATTTTTTTACTTATCTGATGATGTTTAAGCTTGACCTTTGGATCCTGAATCTTCTTCAGTTAGAACCATAGGGTCTTCTAGGCTTGAGTATAGATTTTTGGCTCTAGATAAGAAAATTTGTATGAGACTATATGTTGTCTTTAACAGTTATACTCGAATGTTTAAAGTGAAATTAATTTACCTATACTGTATTTATATTAAATTTTTTAAATATTTTTTTTTGTAAAAATTTCTTTTGATTTTATAGTATAAAATAAAACATTTTGCATCAATCAAAAACTAAAAAATAAATTACAAGTCTAGCTGCAATGTAATACATTATTTTGTACTATTTTAAGTTATTGAAAAAATGATCTCTTTGTGAATTATGAGTTATGATTTTTGCAGAATGATTAGACTTAAATATATTGTAACCATAAGTTTTATTTTTATTTTTTTATTTCGACAAAACTTTGTTCTTGTTCTTTATAAAATAACAAAAGTCTATTTTGTGGTTTTTGACTAAGAAAAAAAATTCTTTTGCTGTAAACTATAGAGATAAATCTTATGATAAACTTGATTATTATAGAGCATAACGTATCCTTAACCGTGCATTACATGTTTACGACATATTCTTAATCAAAAATATATTATTTTAGTTTTTCGAATGAAAGAAATGCTCTTCTTCTAAGCTTATAATTTTCAGATTCTTTTCAATAACTAAACGTTGGAAAATTCTTTTATTTTGCGCCTTGATTCTCAGAAAACGATGCGATTATACGTTATAAAAGTGATAAACCATAAAAGAATTTTTTATTAAATCATATTGTTTAGCACAAAATACCGTTTATTACTTTGTTACAAAATAAGTCATATCTCTTACTAAGAAATTTCTGTGCGTCAACAATTAATAACTTGTTTGACTAGTAGAAAAAGAAAATATATCATTGCATTGCATAAAAATAAATTTTTTAGATACCACAATATTTATTTTTATATAACTTTTATAAATTATCTTTAACCACAGAAGAATATTTACATAACAACAGACATTAAATGTAGGAAAATTGAAGATATTATGTAGGCCTAATAATAAAATACTTAAACTATGTTTAATTTAATATTTATATACATTTTTTAAATCTATAAAAGCAAAAAAACAAATTACTATAACACATATTTTATTAGCTAACATTCTAGAACCGACACAAAATTGTAGTTTGTTATAAACGAAAACATTAAGATACTCATCGAGGATTAATAATATATAATTTTCCTAGTAAATTTACTTTTATGTGATTTATTTTTTATAATTTTATATAATTAAAAAGCAAAATTACTACTTATAACTTTACAAATGCTTACGATAAAGATCTACAGAGCAATCTACATTAAACGAAATCGTATAGTAACTAGGCTTTTAACTACAAAATATCTTTTATAAAGTATAAAATTATTAAATTTAACTTTAAAACTTCGAAAAGAATAGATAGAATTCAGTTATTATAACTTTTAATTATCATTAATTTAAAATTTTAAACTGATATCATAGATTATAGGTTCCATTAGGATTCGAGATATCCCTGGCATTTAATTCAATTCAAGAATTTTAAATTATAACAATTTCTCGGATTCGTAACGCTTTCTTCTTACAAAAAAAAAAAAAATAAGAATTGTAGAATAACTAGATAGCGTATAAATAAATTTATCTCTTAATTTAACGTTTTAGTTTATAAAGTCATTTTCTCTCTCCTCTCGGAGGAGGGAGAGCAAGAGAGAGAGATTTTCATTTATTTTCAAGAGAGAAAAAGAACTTTCTAGTCATTATACGAATTCAAAACTAAAAAGGAAACAATCTACAATTGTAAGCGTGCCAATTACTTTTATAAACAGCCAAATTTCACTTCTTTCATCTCATAAATGGATATTCCATTTATGACGATGATGGAAGATTTTTTAACAATACTATCTTAATTTCTTCAAATCCGTTTAAATTTCTTCCTCGAAATCTTGTTTATAAAATGAGTAATTTCGATTTTATATTTTTTTCATCTCTAACATTTACAAAATCATATCTAAATTGAATTAACATTGAGTAAATCTATAACAGATTTAGACTCATTTCTATGTGAATGTAATGCATAATTTTAAGCTTTAGGTTGAATGCTTACATGTAAATATAGTTAAAAAGTATTTTAAATATAATTTAATATGAAAATTTTGCTACATAAGTACTTTTTATTAACTTTTAACATGAAATTTTTCGAATTTATTTAGCTAGAAACTATAAGATTTCACTTACTCGCATAGAGTAGTTTTAATGATTTTATTAAGATTTTTTTTAGGATTAATTATAAAAAAAAACATTTATATTAACATTGGCCTAAATTTTAAAATTATAAAATAATAATATTTTGTTTATATCCTATTAAAATTTTGATAATTTCTATGTAATTTTTTCCTACATTGAGACATATACACGAGCCAAATATAAGAAAAATGATATTAAAATGTTTTATTAACAACAGCGTAATAGAAATTTATATATTAACCTACATTGAACGATTTTTTATAAATTTATTGTATGAAATTTTGGCACATATTCATCAGTAAGCTGCAAAAAAGATTAAGTATTTTCATAGATTAGAAAGAAATAAGCCTAATTCTTCATATGCCAATTTTAATTTAAGTGCAGACAAAAATCTTGCTATGTTGCTATGAAAAAATGTTACATTAATGATACCATTGAGCCAATATGATCCAGAAATAAATGATAAATTGCTGCAATTATACTAACTTTATATTTATTATAGCTTATATACATAAGATATATTTGTATTAAGAACATAGAGAGTAACCTTACTTAATCAGTAGCAGTAAATCATAAAATATCATCCAAAAAAATAGATTTTTAGGAGTAAAAATGATATATTTTTTTCAATTTTACTTATAAAAAATACATTTCTTAAAAGGGATTTGCTTACTAAATGCTCTCTTTTTTTAAAACAGTCTAGTCTAGCAACCTCTAGGTTATATCAATATATAACTTATTCTTGTATTAGTAAGACTTCAGGATATATTCATGTTAATTCCTTATAATTTATCTGGAAATTTAGATTTATAATTTAAAATTTAATCGGATTTTTGTTCTATTAAATCTTGCTTCATGCTAGAACAAGGATTCCTTATCTAGAGCATGACGATCGCCAGCATCGCTCATCTCTTGTGTCAGGATCTTTCAACGTTGTTAGATTATAAAATTCTTCTACACTAACAGGAACATTAATTTAATTCTTTGATTAAATGATAGATCAGTTTCTAAAACATTATTCTCCAATAAATGTTATTGAAAATTGAATAGAACAAATAACCTCTTAGTTTTTCATCCAAAAAGTACGCTTTGATAACGACAAAAAGGTTTGTAAAATTTTTTTATTTTAATCTTAAATTTGAGTGGAATTATTTCATAAAAATATTCTCTTAAAAAATTTAAATTTACTTTCTAAAATATTATTATAACTTTTGATAATGTCGCGCAGATAATGTGACTAAAATTTAATTTATAAATTAAAAAGAATAGAAGATAAAGTAAAATTTAATAATGGTACAATTATATTAATATATTTTCTATAAATTTATTAATATTTTAAAATTTTTAGATAAAAATATTTGCCACTAAATTAGCTTGGAAGAAGTTAAATCATTTTGTTAAACACACAAACCTCATGAAAGGAATGCTTTTAGTATTTTTATCTTTAAGCAATTCTTCATTTTTTCTTGATTTCACTTAAGTAATTAAAACGAACTTAATCTTAAAATGTTGAAATTTAGTCTTTTCTCGCTTTCAACCGGCAGCTATTCACCATTGTTTATAATTGTAGTGCTTAATTGTTTGATTAATNCATTTTTTTATTACAATAAAATGCATTGCATTTTGTATATCTTGCAGATAATTTTAAGATTCTGAAGAATATTGCTAATGGAAAACTAACAAAGCAGAGCAGCACTTTAGAGAAGCGCTATTCTTCTTTAGCTGTCGACGGCAGATTAAACGGTACAATGGCAAGCGGTTATTGTACCGCCACCAAATTTGAAAACGAACCCTGGTGGCAAGTAGATTTACAAAAACCGTATTTTATACACGGTGTAATTATTCACAATCGTTTGGACTCGCCGACACTGGTAATCGGTATTCGTTACGTAATCATTTCTTGTGTTTGCCAATGATATAAAATATAAAAAACTCTTTTGTTTAGAAATCGAACAGTCCTCATATTTTAACCTGGCCTCAAGGACTTTATGGTCTTCCAATGACTGCTTCCGGTTGTCCTTCTTCCATCGGTTTCTCGTGGGAATCTGGCTTACGCTTCCATGCCATGAAGTACGAAATTTTTAAAGAGCATAGTTTTCCTCATTGGTCGGATGGAATGTTATTGAAAGGCATGTACAATATTTGTATTTTCTGAAGTCGTCTATTGTTAGTTATTAGTTATGTAAAACTAATTTATTAGACTTACGTATGACTGGCGAGTTTCAACACCAGTATCCTACGTATAAATTAATTTTACTTTACATAATAAATTACTTATATATACTATAGTTTATGTAAAGTAGTAATTGTTACTCAGCATCTTCAGATTAGAAGGCCACAAGCTGCAACTGTTTATAATTAGCAATACAATTGGATTTTATGGGGTTATCTTTGTATAGTTTTATTCATTTGCATATCCTAATTATATAAATTAATTTTACTTTAAAATTACGCAGAATGCCCTTTTTGTTAAATGTTCACCGCCCATCTCTACTTATCTTTAGCTACTTTACAAAACATTCTTACAAGATTTTTTTTTTACCATTTTTAAGATTATATTCAACGTAAAATACTTCAAATTTTATAGTTTTAAATGTGTTTAATTTCGTATTAATTATATTCAATGAAGATAAATGTATTTACTCTTTGAAAGCTTAGTTTCTATATATACAACCTAGTAACTAAATTATATATCTGACGGATAATAATAGAAGATACCGTTAAGATTAGACATATATCGAAATTACATTTAATTAGATAAGACTATTGTTTAGTTTTAATCAATATATAACTAAAAAAAAATATTCTATAAGTAATAAATTTTAGAGAATATTTTATGCAATCGAGTTCGATCATTTTAAATATATTCAAAATAATTCGTTTTCGTTAATTTTAAACTTATTTTAAACCTATTTTTAGCACTCGGTAGATCATTAAAGTAAGCCGAAATTATTGGGAAAATATTCAATAGATTTTAACTACAATAATATCTTAATTAGTTAACCATTTGAAATTTTTTTTTTACTTTGTCCCGAGTGATTTCTATCATAATTATTTTCATAAAAATAAACGATTTCTTAGTAATTATTTCGTATTATACGCCTTAAAATGTTATTTTTGTATGATTTAAAAATCTCATTAATTATTTCACTTATTTTTTTACATAAATAAATAATTTATTTATTTTAAAAATGATTTTTTTTAATAGTTTTAACCGAACCGATGCTTCACTCATTACGCATAGCGTTACTAAACTAAGCAGTTATCAAAGTAATTTTATGGTTATTTATAAACTTCAACACATATCTTTGGTTAATTTTAAGATAATATTCGATTACATTATTAATTTCACTATTTTATAATCGTATTTTTAGATAAATAAAGTGATTTCATCGCTTCATACGCAGTTGTGATCATTGCTTTCGTTACTTTTATGCAACTGATCGGTTAATATCAAAGTCTATGCCTATTGTCTGTAGTCATAATCTTTAATATTAGCTGATTTTTTACGTATAATTTATCAGATAACAGAGGAATAAATGTATTAAAAACAATAAAAACCTATCGGAAACAATGATGTACTGTACAGTACATACCCGAAAGTAGGTTAGCTTCGGAAGAACTAGAAACAAAATGAAAAATTAAATCGAACTGCGATTTAGAACATTACGTGAAGAGAGGACTCGGTCTAAAGTAAAGAATAGAACCCGGAAGGCCTCCTAAATACATTAATTAATGATTTAAGAAGCGAAGACATCTTTAACCAGCTGCGATCCATTCCGCGTAACGCAATGGAGGAAACAAAAAAAAAACTCGTTTTAAATTGTTAAATTTTACATCTATTTACATATACAATAGCCAAGAAAATTATAAATAATATGTTTAAAGAGGTAAATAAGTGCTTTAACCAATCCGTGAAGTGCCGGTCGCAAAACTTTAATTAAAATCAAATATGATCTAGTTTAATGAAACATGTGTTAATACATAAAGATGTTATAATTAATATTGTGGAAAGGTTACTAATTAAAATATTTCTCTGGGGGGATGGTAACAGAGTGAAATATTTATTAAATGTTGAGAAAATTTTTAAAAGAAATTTTTAGCTCTTCTTTAATAATTTTTATAATCTGGTAAAATAAGTTTCGGTTGAAGAGTTTCGAGTTTTCGGGCAATCAACTCTATCTGAATGTTTTACGCATAAATAGTAAATATTAAAACTAACCATTTGATTTCAATCAACGGCTCTCGGTTATGGAAATCGTATTACGTGTCTACTCTTATTAAAAATCTTTAAATTTATCATTTTAAACGATGTCAGATAGAGTGTAACGATGGTGAAAACCAACCAGTCGTTTCAACCATCTCTCGCTCTCTGCTCTCTAGAGTGGGAGGTTTGTCTAACTTTAAGGGCATAATTAATTCTGTTTAACTCGATTAGTGGGCTATATGGGTTCGGTGGTGAGCCTAGATCCGCCCTTTGTTCCCATTCAAACAAACCGCTGGAGACCTTAAAAAATCGATTTTAATCCCTACGAAAGTATACTGTTGTCGTGTAAAATAGTTTCGGGAGTATGCTAAGAATGTTTACTGTTGTAGAATATACTATACATATCTAAAGTGATATCCATATATTAACTTTTACGTACTGTACATCGATTGCTATGAATTTTATAGGCCTACGGCACGCATTTTCACTTGATTCGCCATTTTGAAAAGTGAGAATATCTTTTCAAACGAAAAATTTTGTCATTTTTAGAAAGTTTTACATTTCAAACCGAATATCAAAAAAGATTTCTAGTGTTTGGTAAGCTCAACATGCTTAATTTATACCGTATTACGTTTCTAAATTTCTGTTAAATCTTCATTTTATAGATGATATTTTTGATAATTTTTATGTTTAAAATAATATTTTTTGTCGAATTTTATGTCTTTTTTGGTTTGTTTACTAAATATTAAAGAAATCTGCATTCAATTTCGTTGATAAAATGCATAAATCCATTCCAAAATCAAAAATTCCTAACTGAATTTTAGGAAGATCTCCTGGATTAAGTTATAAGTCCAACCCCATTTCCTTTATCTTAAATAATATTTAGATTAAAAAAAATAATAAAAATATAAAGAAATTTCTAAATAAATTTTGAAATTTTTACAAAAGATTTATATTTTTAACACTGTACTTGAGGCAAAGGAATTTTAAAGAATAAAGAAATATAAGAATAAAATATTCGCTCGAGGATTAAATTTACTTTGTGTATAATCTTTAAATATTAAAATGCAGATGGTTAAAATAGATAATAGATTCTTACACACATATATATATATATATTATACATATGCTGTGTTTATACTGTTGAGATACGGAAACATTAATAGAAAGAGACATAAAAATCTATTAAGTAGCTCATTTTTTCGGGAAACGAACGTATAATTAATATGATTTGCAGGAAAGGAAAAGCGACGGATGTATCCACCTTTAATCAAACATAATTTCTACTTTTATCATTTAAAGAATGCAAATTTTTGTAGAAAAATAGTAGGAAATTGCCGGGTTTGTTTTTCCGAAAGAGACTAAGCGCAACTTCAAATTCGGCTTTCCTTTATCCATATATAATTTGAATGTCATTATACATTTAACTACCAATAATACAGGAAGTCTACCATGACAGAAAATCCTACTATTCCGAAGAAAGAAAAGAAAAAGAAAGAAAAAAAAAACCTCAAGAAAAAGTCAGCTCAATAAGCATAAAGACAATTGCTAGTTAAATGGACCCCCCATACACGAAAATCTTAAAACTTTCATTTCTAAGAATCTTGGTAGGGGTAGAGGTAAATTTTCTTAATTCTCTCCTTCTGGGAATTAGTTTTCGCTCTTTGATTTGTCACTTTGTTTATTCGGTACGATCTCCTTTTTTGAATTACGTGTTATGTCTTTGCTCATCTATTTTAAGAAGGTGGCCGATTCGATTTTTATTCAGTCAACACAGAAACTCGAGCTAATGCAGGAAATGAATCACGGACGAAGCAAAGTATCAAGATGAAACACATCACTAAATATTTTATTTTAAAAATAACTCTTTTTTTTTCTTATTTTTTCCTTCTCCTCCCCCTTACAAAATATACTTTTATAATGAAGATAATTACAATATTATCTCCTCTCTTACTTAAATTATCTTCGGATGAGTCTGGGCTTAACGACGAAGGAACGGGAGAAAAGTAATTATTAAGCATGGAACAACTTATTTTTGTGGGGGAAAAAATTAAATATTTTTGTCATTATCGCATTCAAATTATAAATTATCTGCTGTTTAAACATTTCTATTATCTACAATTTTGTTAAACATTCATTTATTTATATAAATTCATTTCTGATGATATGTTAAAGAGAAGAGTGACTTCATCACGATTAATTTTTTCCCCATTAACAGATTAAAATATATATAGGCCTATAATATAAATAATAAATTATAAAATAAAATACTTTATATAAATATAATATACAAATTAATATAAGTGCAATGCGATATTGTAAATTACAAAAATATATAAAAGTATAGGATGTATCGAGTGCGTACACTCCGATACATCATTGTACTGTACAGTACATTTAAATACTATGAGCTTTTCTGAATATCTTATTAATCTATGTATTCATATAAAAAAATTAAGAACTTTTTGAATAGATTTACTTATTTTCATTCAAAAATAACTCAAAATCTTATTTACTATCCATTTTGTGTATGTGTGTGTGTGTTTGATTTTAAAATCCTTTAAGAGTTCAAGATTATNAAACACAGATGTATTTAAATATTAAATTAACAATATAATACAATACGTAATCCATATGTATATATTAATTTTAAAGGTTATAGATAATAATTAATTATAGTTTAGGCATTTGCAAAATTACAATCATAACCTTTTATACCTTTTGCAACACCTGCTGTAGCAAGATGTTAAATAACATTTTTTTTCTATCCTTTAAGAAAGTGTTGATAGAATAATTCTCTTAAAGAAACCCTATCATTAATGTTTGTAAATCATAAAAAGAATATACATAAAAAGTCATTTTTATCTAATTAATGTATTTTATTAACATTTTCTTAAAAAAATAACAATGAAAAATTTCCCCCTATAAAACTGTTAAGATATATTTAA